CTTGTTCAGTTTTTTTTTCCACTTATTCGTTTTACTATTGTTACTGTGTTTATGTGTTTTCAATATGTTTTTGATGAGTTGAGCAAATAATTCTTTTGCATATACAGCTGATGACAAACTGATTACTTCAAAGCAGACAAACAGTTGAAAACCAGATGTTGTCTTTTTCTGTATTCTGCAAAAAAAGTTGACATCAAAAATGGCATACGAAAAAAAAAAAAAAAGGAAGAAAGTGTCGGCTATTAGTCAGTTACTGTTTTTTTCTTTTTTCTGCTGAACTTTGACTAATGCATATTTAAGATTAATAATGTCAAAAAAGAATTTTAATTTTTTTTTTCTCGCTTTATATTTCTACAAATTTTGCAATTTTTTTTTGCTTTTTGAGGTCAACAAATATCCACACACACATACGCAAAAAAAAAGGGAAAACAAATTGACAGCAATTAATGTTGAATAATTTAAGTAAAAAAAAAAAAACTAACAAAAACAAATATCAGCAACAGCAAAATAAAAGCTTTTTAAAACATTGAATTTAATTCAAATAAAAACTTTAATTTTACCACTAATTTACTTCTTTTTTTTTTTTCGCTTTTTGTTCTATTTGTTGTATCAGTTTTTCTGTTTTAATGACATAAAAAAAAAAATTTGTTCTTTTAGAATATTTAAACATTTATAGGAAAAAATAAACAAACACACACATATAAACAGATCAGAATATACGCAAAAAACAAGAAAAGTATTCAACACATTATAATATTCCATTTTCTTCGTGCTTTTTTTGTTTTCTTGATGTTCACCTCAGTATTATCAAATAGTATCAATGCTATCAACAACCACTACTGTATATATATTGTCTAATGTATTATTTATACATTAAAAAATTTCTTAATTTTTATTTTTTTTTTGATTTTTATTTCATATTGCAACAATGAACAGAAAAACAGAACACAGTTATATGTGATTTGCAAAGGTCTGATAAACGTTTTCTATTCAAGTAATCTCTGTGAACTGCAACGACGAGCATCTGAAAACAAAAAAAAAAGCAGTTTGACAACGATAAGTATTTCAGAGTGCTCAAAATTTGTACATTTATTCTGTCAACAACATTATATCACTCGTTGTTTTTTTCTGCCTTACAGAAAAATTTCAAGTAATTTAATTTTTAAAACATTTCAGACAAATAATCAATTAGACAACTGAAAACAAAAAAGTGTTCACTGTGAATTCTTAAAACATTTGTTAGCAAAGATCCAAAAAAAAAAAGAAAAAACTCAGCATTTTTCATCAATAAATTTCATCCATCAAACATTCTCTACTAAATGACAAACAACAACAGTGTTATCACTCATAGATTCTCCACCATACATAAGCAATAAAAAATTTTATCTATCAAAATACAGCAAACATTTTCGCTTATCAAAATAAATGTTGAACAAATTAGACAAAAAAAAATTAGCATCTCGCAGAAACAGAGTTAATAAAAAAGAGGAATATTCTGGAAGAAAAAAGTAAAAATAAAGATTTCAAATGCTATATGTGATATATTTACTTATGTCAACGGTTCTTCACAAAAACTTTGGTAAACATATTATTATGCTAATATTCTCAATTGTTTATCGTTAAACAAAAAACTGAGAAACAAAAACAGAATTGAATCGACAACTCTGAAACATAAATGTTTGAAAAAAAAAACTTCTCTCAATTGCAAAAACTAATCAAAGGCGATATTTGCTGAACAAATGTCATTTATCAAATGTTATCCAATTTTCATTTTTTGACTGTTAGAAAAAAAAAAAAACTGGTGCATTAAAATTGATCTTTTTTTTAAAGTGACTTTTTCAACTTAGTCAAATTTTGCTGTTTTAAAGATTTAACAGTTTTATCATCAAAGTAATCACTCATTTAATGATTAATACAACAATTATTGTCTTATCAGCGTATTTTTGACTTATTCCCCATACATAACTTTGTCATATAGTCAATCAGCAATTATTTCCAACATTTTTTTTTTGAGTAGAGTTTTATTTATTACATTTCTTATTTCTTTGTCTTTTCTTTAATATAATTTTTTAAGTGCTAATTTTTGCGTGTTATATGAATCACGAAAAGCAGAATTGTTTAAAGGTATAAAATGATAATCGCAGAAAAATAACTTCATTTTAAATTAGAAGAATCTTAAGTTTTCAATTATCAGTAAGTGTTGATCAAACCATTAAAAAAAGAATTTTAATCACAGTTTTTGACAAATTTATTGTTCAACTGATAATTTTTCATTGGTTAAAAATTTGATGATATTTGAATCTGTGATACTGATAAGTGTTGTCAAAGGCATTCGACTAACAGAACAATTATTCACTGTGAAAAACAAATTTAGTCAATTTTTTATGTTTTGATAACCTTATCTTAAAAACTGTCTGCCTATTCACATTTCAGAAATACTGAAAAAGAAAAAGTTTGAAGATGATAAGGTATGAAATGTTAACTGAAATTAGAGAAATTGAGGAGAAGTATCACAATAAAAAGTTTAATCAATAAATGGCTAATAAATTTATTAACTTCTTCAAAATTGACACTAAAAATTTTCAAGTCTAAAGAATATTTTTTTAGTTATTTCTTTCTTTCCTTCTTTTTTTTTGCTCTGCTTTAACAAAAAGAAAAACCCAAAGTTCTATGGGACAGATTACTTGAGATAAATAGGTTTAGTTTTTTTTGTCTTTTTTTTTTAATTAATAAAACTTAATGAATTTCTATCGCAATAAAAAAGTTTAATTATTTCTCAACTTTATTTTTTTGTTGTTTAATCAACGTGATTAGTGGCATACTAAAGTTGTTATGATAAATGCTGAAGGTTAAAATCAGATTAAAGGCAGCAGAAGAACAATAGCTTAGAAGCCATAAATGGCAAAATTATAAAGTTTAATCATTTAAAGAAGTCCAGCCTTAAGAAAGCATACGAGCGAAAACAATTATTCATTAGCAATCTTACGAGTACATATGCTTTTGAATAGGTACGTCAAGTTTTAAGCTGTTTCAACAACAGCTGTTTTTATTTTTTAGTTGTTAAACTTAGACAAGTATCCTTTTTTTTTTGCTTATTTTAATGAAGAGAAATTTTGGTTAAGCAACTATATTTTTACAAAAATAGTAGATTCTAACAAAATCAAAAGAGAAAGAAAAAACAAAACTGCAGTAATATTGTTGTATACTGCTTAGTTCTCTCACATTTCTATTCTTATATCGGTCATCTTATTTTCTATAAATTAGTTTTATAGAACTTAGCTGAAAAAAAGTTAATTAACAATTACGAGACAAACAGATTTCATCTAAACACTTTAATATGGCTGCAGATTATTAGTCCTAAAGTCGGGTATTGCTTAAATGTGTCAAAAATTACTGCTACAAATGATTCTGAATCAACAGCATTTTAGAGCTTAATACAGTTGAAAAAAAAAAGATGAATTTTTGATGCTAATATAAGCATTAACCAAAGAACATTCAATACTGCTTTGTTTCTTGTATCGTCTTTCAGAAACAGACGGCTTCTGTCCTATATATATATATATCTGTTTTGCCACAAAACACTGTTTTTCTGATGCATTTTAAAGAATTATCAATTGGAACAATAGTGTTTTGTTATTTCTCAATAACCAAAATAGCCAAAAAAAAAA